CTGCCCATCCACAGTAGAAGTTTTTCTTTTTTCTTTTCTTTAAGTTTCTTCATCATCTTGGAATCTAAATGTCATTTCTGATAAATCTGTAAAATGCCTCAGTCTTTATAGGTCTTGTAATTGTTCATTGTTCCATGTGCACTTTATAAAGTATGTCCATCAGCCCAATGCAGAAAAGTATTCATAACCCATTGCAGTGTTTTGTAATGGAAGCACTTATTTCAGTCACTGTGTATCATGCCTGTAAATGATTTTTAGAGAAGTGCCCTGCACTGCAAATTCATCTAAAGTTGGCACAAAAAGTTGTCTATTAAAATATAGTTTATGCTCATGCAACATTGTCAAATTTCATTTTACTGCAGATATCATTACTGTTGGTGTTTTTCTTCAAGCCCTAGACTTAAAATAGAGTGACTATCTAAGCCTTCAAATTCAAATCTAAGCCTTCAGAATTAAAACAAATGCATCTAGTTCTCATGGTTGTGGAGAGACTAGACACTGGGGCCCAAATGCACCCTAAAGCCTCTAAAACCAAAAAAGCTGTCACTACATCACACACTGGTTCTTTTAAAATAATCTCATAATTTTTAGGCTATGGGAGCATAATTCATGACACTAGTGACATGATACTAGTGAGGTGAGCTGCTACTTTGGAGTGTGCTTGGGGCTTTTCTGTGAGGAGGAGGTGCCAGAAGTATCTTCTCACCATTGAATTCCTGTTCAGGGCCCGGGTCTCTTAGGTGCCCTTAGTGCTATACAAAAAATACTAGGCTTTAGCAATAGCCTTGTTGGCTCAAAGTACTGGGAACATGGCCCGAGAGACTGTTAATTTTGTTTGTTTTTAATAATTTTTTCAGTGCAGGTTTCCTTTGTTGCATTATTGCAAGTTGTCCTGGAAGTGCCTTCTAGCCATCATTTGCTTCAAAATGTACTTGCTTTCTGCTGGCAACTGTTAAAGTAGGATTGGACTCTCTCCTCCCAATATCTCAGTGAAATCTATGATCCTTGCACGGCCCATATAGATTCACAAGGTATGTTTGCTGAAACACCTAGTAGGGCATTCGACTTGATAAGCCTGGACTCACAAATATAGTGCACCTGGCTGTGCACCAGCATATAAGTGAAAAAGTGACAGCCAGTCACCATGGCTTCAGAGAATTAGAAACCACATAGTAACAAAAACCCAGATTGAGTCAGTTGTGAAGCAAATCATTATGAGAGGGCAATAGGAGCATTGCAAGCAGCAAAGAATGATGTGAAATAGAGTTATGTCCTGGTGTCCTACACTGTGCCGAAACTTTTCTGAACTAAATCAGCCTGAGATTAATTTAATTCACTTTCAAGGTGAATTATATAATTCTCAAAAAGTTGCTAGAAAAATTAGGGGGAAAGGGGGTGGTATGAATGCAGGATATTTTCATCCTGAAAAAAAATGAGAAAAAAAATCTCTCCCTAAATAAACCCTAACTAAAATGGCTAGAAATCTTGTGAATACAATATGTGTATGTTTTTGTGTTGGAGGGGAGTCTGCACTATTTCCTGATTTTAATTGTATGCATCAAGGTACTGTAGATGTTATTTCAGCTTCAGTCTCAGTCTAAGAAGCTCATAAATGTGAAGTTGTAAAGTAGTGTCTAATAAAAATATCTAATTATTGTTTGCAATGTTGAAATAATGTTGCATCCGTGATGGTCCAGGATATATGCAAGAGGCAAGGATTTTTGTTTATCATCTCTTTTATTGGACAAACTGCAGGGTTAGGATAGGCTTAGACTAGCTTATGAGTACTTCAGTACTCTTTGTTGAGACTCTGGGAGAGAAACAGACACAGCAGAGCCTGTCAAAAATAAGTCAATTCAATTTGAATTCGCTTTGAATTTTGGACTGAGGTCCATTCCTATCCAGCTTGAACTGTTTCATGATTAGCAATCCTGGGTTTCCATGTTTAAAAATGGCAAATTCTCTCATTAAAAGCCCCCAAATCCATGTTTTTCCTATATATATATACCTCAATCATTATAATAAAATAAATTATAAATACCTATATATTTTAGTGGTTGATTTTGGGTTTTTTATCATGAAAAAGCAGAACTTCCCCCACCCCTTCACTCACTAGGATGCTGGTCAAGCTGTGGCTGTCCCCATCACTGCTTTGTGATGCTGAGTAGCCCTGATATGCTGGTGCCCTGCCCCTACCCATGCCATTGCTCCTCACTCCCAAAGCACAGCCCCACATCCCTGCAGATGCCCCTCACTCCTGGTGTACAGTCCACTACCCCCACCCTCCATCCCTGCCAGTGCACATGGCGCCCCCAGCTCCATTCACCTTCTGTTCACGCCTTCCAGACCAAAGCAGCTCCTTGCAGGCTGGATGGCTTCTAAACTGCAAAGGGAAACCCACGGTTTCCTCTAAAGGAGGAAATATGCATTTTTCTCCTTTAAAGGAAAAATCCACATTTTTCTGCAGCAAGCAGGAAACCCGGATCCCTGTTCATGATAGATGTACTCGAATGGCTGAATGTGACTTACTAATATGTTTCTAAAGTGTGGAGGTCACAAGAAGATTAAGAAAATTAAGTAAGCGTTAGTTTTTCCAGTTCCTTATTCTAAACAAAGAAAATCAAATGTTTCAAATTTTCTTACTAAAGTACACATTTTTCTCAGTTTCCCAAGGGAAAGTCTGTCCATGGATGTCTATTCTGTAAAAGTTCTTTTAGAAGAAACTGTTGTTTTTTAACCTGCTTACATTTTATGAAGGGCATTTCATGCCGGAAAGCTTGTCTAACATCTTTCCCAACTATATAGTTGGTCCAATAAAATATTACCAAAAAAAACTTGCCTTTCTCTTTTTTGGGGTATTTTAGGGAACAATCTGTTGCTTGGAATGAAATTGGAGGTCAAAATTTGTTTTGAATTTGACATGGAAAAACAGATACTGGATACAGCCCAAGGCTTGACTGGATGCCTTTTATATTAAAAAGAGATTATAAAATCAAAAACTACAGCATATCTTTTATTTTTGTTTTTAATCTGAATAATCAAAGTTTACACATAGACAGAACAGAGAAAGTTAAAGTGATGCCAGCATAGCCTGTTTTAACATTGCCAGACTGTTAAAGAATAGTTTGTCTGTATATTTTATCCCATGATTAACCAGCTCCACAAAGAGGATAAGCATAAAGTTGCTATTTTTAATCATTCCATTTATTGTCATATTTTCTCATCATTTGGGGGGGAAAAGAGCAGTTTGTGTTAGACAAAAAAGTTTTGTTATTTTCCTTTTCCATTGGAAAAATTCATGTTAATTATTCTTCTGCACCTGCCTAATGGGGCTGAAGTAATTCAATTGTCATATTGTTGTAGATTGTTGCTTTGTGTAATGTATCACCCCTGCTGTTTCACTTAAAAAAATTCTATACTCCTCCATTATTCAGCAAGGCCTAATGATTATTTCAGCATTTGTACATGCTGCACTGTTGTTTTGATTTTAATTGACTTCACTTTTTTAATTAAGTACACTGGTTTTAACACTGTTGTTGACATGCATGGTTTTGTCTTTATCAGGATTTGCTTCCATTTGCATTCTGTATCTATTGACATTTTATTTAGATTTATTCTAAAGGAATAGATGGATATGAATTCGGAAAGGTTTGTTATCAACCCTAACAACTCATTTCACTTATTATTCCTATCTAATGGTCTGAAAAATGTAAAAATATGTTGAAAATACTGATTTTGCTTTTTAAAAATATAAATGGTTTTAACAGTGTTTTTAAATATGCTGTTTGCAACCTATTCTTTTATTTGCATGGGTAAACCAAAGTTGATTTATATACAATTTGAATGTATCCATTACATATCTTTAATCATACACATTTAAAAATATATATTTGATTTGTCCCCCACTGAGCCTTCAAACAAGCTGTGTTATATTGGGAAGGTGCACTATGTGCATTGTTTACCTATATACTTGTGGTCTGGCACATCTACTTGAACTACTTAAAATTAAGCAACAGTAGATAATCTGTTCCAAGAATAGATTGTTTCTTCCAATCCTTAAATAACTACTGACAGCACCTTTAAAATGGTTGCCCCAGCTTTTAGAATATGATAGTCAGTGGATGTATCATAGACATTATGAACTTTAAGGGCTACTTTAAACAAAACCCTGCTGTTGGAACCCATTCAGGTGCTCCCTTTTCAAAGTGTGTTTAATCCATTTGTCACAGTATAGTAAAGAATGAGCTAAAATATTTTTTACTTGAAATATTAAACCTTGCTAGGGCTTGGAGACAGGGCTACTGTCTGAACATTTGCACTGGAAATTTAGAATGAGTAGAGACAAAAGTGGTCATAGGATCATAGGAAAGTAGGGCAGAAAGCGACCTCATGAGGTCATTTAATCCAACTCCTTGCTCGAAGCAGGATTATCTCTGACTAAACAATCCCAGCCAACTGTCTGTCTAACCTGCCCTTGAAGATTTCCAGGGATGTAGCTTTTACAAATTCTCTTGGTAGCGTGTTCCAGTGCTTGATCGCCCTCATAGTCAAAAAGTTATTCCTAATCTCCAATTTAAATTTCCTTTGCTGCATCTTGCAGCTGTTGCTCCTACAATAATGCTGAACATTTCCCCCACCAGTTTTTGAACCAAAACCTGCCATAACCCACCCTCTGACGTTGTAAAGCCACTAAAAAGTAGTGTATTTTAGGGAAGATATTGCCTGAATGCTTACATTTCTATATTGTTATAAAACAGGCATGAATGAATGCAACACATAGGACCTGGCTGCTGTTTGGTCATTCAAGGTCAGAAGATGAGGATGAGGCCCCATATGCGCTTATATGTTACAGGCTTGTTGTCACAGCACTGATTGTTGATGAGCCACAGGATTTATATTTAACCTTGCCTTCTGCTTGTTGTGTTTGCCTCGGTTCTATTAACGTAACATTCATTGTAGTGCTGGCATGAACAGAAGATGACTAGTGTGACCTTACAAGTGAGACCCTGACCCTGAGCAGGACTTCAATGAAGAGAAGATTTCCCTGGCACCTCTTCCTCACAGAAAAGCTCTAAACACACACCAACAAAGGAGCAACTCTCAAAATTCAGAGACAGCATGCTTGAGAAGGCCAATATGATATGTAAGTCTGAGATGCTGCATTTCTACAAAATTGCAAAGACAGTTTTAAATATTTGTTTTGTTTCAGGAATTGCGTTCTAGGAAGATATGAACAAAGAGATTTTCTGAGTCTGCTCAGCTTTTAGCTACCTCATTGTGCTGAAAAATGGTGTCCATGTTAATAGAAGTTAAGCTCTATGGTGTTTATTTTCCTAACATTTTATTGCCACAGGGCCTTTGTACATGCCACAAAATTGTCCTTTAAAGAGGCTCAAATGCCCTTTTGTACTGCTTTAATGGCGCTGCTGTTTACACTGTTGGCGGCATATTGTTCTTTAAATGACTTTGGGACGTAGCAAAATAAAACACTTCCAAGTTGTTTTAGTTTGCTACCTAACAAAGTGCAACAGCTGCAGAGGGAAGCACCGGAGCCCCTGTGTAGGCAGCCTGTTCAGGCAGGCTCCACCGAAGAAAAAAATGCAGCAAGGCTGATCTTTATTTTTTCCTTCCCAGAGTCTGCCTGCCTGGCTCAGCTATGCGGGGACCTGGTGCTTCCCTCTGTGGTTGTGGTGCCCCTCCCCGGGCTGCCCAAGCTGGCTGCCTGCAGGTGGGTGCCACCTGGGGGGTGCTGCTGTGGAGGGAAGCACAGGACCCCCCGCAGCTCAGGGACTGGTCATCCCACTGGCAGCTCGCCCGCCTCCCCTCCCCTCCCCCCCCCACTGGAGAAGCAGGTAAGGATCAGGCCCGACCCTTGTGTACACACCACAGGGGTTTACTTCACTTTCATTCTCCCTAAATTGAAGCAGTGTTTTTAAAAACCTACCACTTCAATTTACTAAACCTAAGTAAATCCCCACGGTGTATACAAGCAGCCACAGTTATTGGCAAAACCAGTGGGTACCAGTTTCCTCTCCTATCCCATTGAATGTTCCTTCTCCCTCCCAGTTCACTTTTAATCAGACTCTCAGAACTGTTAATCCCTTTGGTTCCTGACAATTACTGCAGAGGGCTATTTATTTTTTGGTGGGCTTTATACTGGTCAGTGGGAGTTATGAAATACAAATGATCACAAAAAGATGCATATTTAGCACAAACATTGCAAGGCAATGCAGCCTCACTGTGGCCCAAGATTGGTAACAAGTCCCTGCATGAAGAGGAAGCAAGGTAGATAGTAAGACATTTTCTAGCTCTGAGCTCACCTCAAGAAATCATCAAGAAGCATAATAAATGTATATCTCATAAAATCCTTACACAGATTAATGAAATCCTTATACAATACACAATAAAATTTCATTTCAGCATTCTAGTTCCTAAGGGCTCAATGCAGAATGGAAAGAGACTGCGAATTCAGAGCATTTTCACGAATGCCTTCATTTGTTTAGCCCCCATAATAGAATCCACAGCCATGTTAGGTGCCTAGCTTCCCTATACAGTGGCCATGTACACAAGTGCTAAATGACTGCGCAGTAACCAGTTTAACTGCTCAGTAGCATTCCTAAACACCTTTCTGGTGATGCTGACTGCGCAGTAGCTCATTACTGCTGCACAGTAGCTTCACATAACACTTCATGCCACACAACACTACTAAGCAAAAGTAACAAGCTACTTCATAGTAGTCATAAGCTACTGTGCAGTCAGCGTCTCATGTAGATGTGGCCGGTGTATGAGGAGAGATGGGCACCTCCAAATAGGGTCCACAGAAAACAGCATCCTAAGCAGCCAGATAAATAAGCCAATTGGGAAATGCCCAGAACAGAGGGAAACAATCTTCAACTACTTAATTTGAACCATTTTTTTTTTCATTTTTTCTCACCAAAAAGAAATACTGAAAAATAGTTTTGTTCAACAAAAATGTTCTATTGAAACTGAACTGAAATATTTTGTTTCTAGCACATGTAAGAAAACAAAGGGAATGGAGGGATAGGAGTTTCAAAGGACGAGAAAAAGTAGTCCCCCTTTTGTGCAAAAACTCAGGGATTATAACACTCTTGCAAGATGTGAAATGTCTGGGTTCAATTGCATTCTATTCCTGAGGGGATTTGAACTGACATCTACTTCTTAGAAGACGGCCCTGACCACCAGGCTGTAAAATGCTCCAGAAGTGAGAAGTCAAGCTTCAAATTTACTATCTGCCTGATTTAGAGTAGGGATTTAAACCAAAGTTTTACTCTTCTTGATGTGTCTACATAAGATGTTTCCTGTGCAGAGACTAGCTACACAGTAAATGTTGTTTGTCTACACATGTGCCCCTATTAGGTTGGATTAGACTAATTTACTCCACAACAGGATAGTACTTGTACTGCTATTTACAAGTACTACCCTGCTGCAAAGTAAAAAAACTCCATCGTAGCACACATGTAGATGCTGACCTGATGGCTGGGGCAAGAGGCTGCTTCATTGTGGAGGCTGCTTGTTAGCTAAGCCACATTGAAGCACCCTTATGCCCCAGCCAACACCTCCACAGCACATTGAGCTGGGGGGAGCAGCCCCAAATTGGCAGGCTGGCCCCCTGGACCTCTTGCCAGCCTGGGTTGCTCTGATCTGGCTCAACATGCTGCAGTCCCAGGCACACATGTAAACATGCACCTGGGAGCAATAAACTCCAGTGTAATAAGCACCAGAGTCTATTGCATCACATTAATATGCACATGTAGACGTGCCCCTCAAGTACTAATCAGTAGGGCTGTGCGAAATTTCACTGGCCATTTTGTTTCAACACTGTTTTGACTCATTTTGAGGTCAAAACAGCAAAATTGAAATGAAACAAAGGGCTGTGAAACAGCCTCAAAACAAAATGAGGCGAGTCAGAAAATTTCAAAAGTCGAAATGTTTTGACCGTAGTGCTGGGGAAATGAATTCAGCCCAGCTGGGCTGACTTCCCATCCCCAGTGCTAGATGGCGCTGGGGTCCAGGAGTCAGCCCATCGGGGCTTCTCCCATCCCCTGCACTAGATTGTATTGGGGGTGGGGAGTCAGCCCAGCTGAGCTGACTCCCTGTCCCCAGCAAAACATTGAAACAGCATCAAAACAACCTTTCTGTTTCAATGGAACGGAACAGCTGTTTTGAATCTAAATGAAATTTGAAACAGAACTCTGTTCTGTCAAACCGTCGAAACACAAGGTGAAATGGAATAGTGCCATTTTACACAGCCCTACTAATCAGGTAGAATGCTCTCCATCCCTCCTCTTGGAGCTGTTTTTGCTTTGTATAAAATGTTTAAACTAAGCACTGAAGATGAGCATAATAATGACTCTCTAATCTGGTGTTTAAGCCACTTATGCAACACATGAGGTATCTGAGTTTCAGTCCCTGGCCTAGTGAATGTTCAAATATTATACAAAGTGGAACAGTTCAAACATCAGCAATTGAAATCACTATTGCTGCATAGCACCTTGTTGCCAAGCAGTTGGAACACGTTTTTGGGAGGATGAAGAAACCCAGGTTCTAGGCCTCCCAAACCATAGGAGACTTGAACCCATACCTTTTTCAAGGGATCCAGCCATGGGCTAGATTTTCCAGTGCAATTTCCAGTCCTTCTTTAGAAGCTGACTTACTAGGTAGCACAGAGGGAAAGATATGGGGGGGCCAGCAGAAGAAACACGGTCAGAGGAAGGGTGGCTTTCTGAGATGGTTCCTAACCTAAACAAGAGAAGGTTGTAGGGTCTAGCCTGGGTCCCTTCCCCCAGTAGGTTAGAAACCATCTTAGTGCTGCTTATCCAGAAAGCAGGGTAGATGTGCAACGTCTAAGCTAACTGAATAAGAGAGGCATAAGCTTTTGTGAGCAACAGCTCACGACATCAGATGGTATGAAAGGACATGCAGAGAACAAGCTATCAAATAAAAGGAGTGACTTAAATAGAAGAGACAGGCAAGGAGAAAAAATAGAGAGAGAGGGCAGTGCTTAGAAAGGCAGAGGGATCGGAGATAACCACAAAGCAATTTGTGGGTGTAGACAGAAGTGACAATATTTGCCTGATCTGGCCACAGAAGACAGTTTATAGCTGTGAGCAAACACAAGTGCATGGCTGCAGACAGCTTAAAAAATGGCCAGTTGAATGAAAATCAGCCCCCTCATTGCATGCAGGGTCAGATAAAGATATTTCAAAATGGAGTGTTTCCCATAACTACTGTCTGCTTTGCCTACCAGCCTCAAGCTGTTTTCAGAATGGGAAGGGGGGAAAGGGAGCAAGGGGAGTTCAATCTGGGGGGGGTTCAGCCACTGCTGGAGGGTGGGGCAGGTGTATTGGAGCTCCCCTGAAGTGCGGGGCTCCAATTCATCCACCCCTCCCTCCAGCACCAGCTGGGGAACCCCTAGAATGAGCTCTCTCTGCTCCCTTTCCCCCCCTCCCATTCTGAAACAGGGACAGGCTGGGGAAAAGGAGGGGTCATTGCTAGGGGAAACTGGCCGCAGGCTGACAGCCAGCAGCTAAATTCCCCTCCCCCTGGAACCAACAGTGAACTTGTATTTGGTTGGGGAGGTTGTTGTAACTCAGAACGCTTCCTGCAAAGCATTCTCATTTACAGCGGGGAGCTGCACTTCTATCTGCACCCAAAAGCTAATCCAGGTAATGGGATAAGAATCTATAGTCTCTGTTTAGACAATACGTAACAAAATCTAGTCTGTAAATGATTTCTTGTTCCACAATTCTCTATTCAAGTCAGTTTTTTTTTAATTATGTTGTTTAAGAACAGCTATTCTGAGGTTAGCAATGTGACTTTTAGGGAGGGTAAAGTGTTTTGCCTTAGGTTTTTTGTGTATTTCTGGACTTGATGTCAGATCAGTGTTCATTCATTCTGTCATTTAGGATTGCTGGTGAAGGCTCATGTGACAGTGGTAGAGAAGCAGGTAAGTATACATCAGATATTCTAATATGTATTATTTTGGTTCATTAATGATGTGTGGTGGGCTAGCTGGTGGCAGCTTGACCCGAGGTTTTGAAAAATTAAAAAATGGTTGGTGGGGGAGGATTTCCTTTTCCCCATCCATCAGGCCCCAGAAAAGGAGAAAGCTTGCCCCCTCCAGGGGCCAGGTAGGGAAACTGGACCTAAGAGTAGACTCACCTCTCATGTCACCTGTTTGGTCCCACCAGTCACCTGGGGGGGATAAAAGGGGCAGCGCACCTGGCTCCAAGAGAGAAGACGATGAGAGATGAAGGAGAGGAGTCCTGAAGAGCTGGTGAGAGCTGGCCAGTGGGGTGGAGCAGTTGCCCCAGAAGAGCCCTGCAGCCTGGGAACTGCAGGTGGTGGCTTGGGCTCCAGCTGCTCGGTGCACAGGCGGTGCATGGTAGATCTCCAGCTGGGACCCAAGCCACAGGCAGTGGCTCAGGCATTCAACCCTCAGCAGCATGAGGCCAGACTGCTTGGCATGCAGACAGCACATGGAGGATCCTGGAGGGATGAGAGCCTGGAGCCACAGGCAGCCACCCAGCCATCGATAGCTCAGTGGTAGAGTTCTCATCTACCACATGGAAGACCTGGGTTTGATCTCTAGCTAAGGCACCAGAGGGGTGAGCCCTGCCAGGGGGACTGGAATCCCCACTGAGTAAAAGAGTTTCCTTCCCTC